CCCCAAAACCCCAAAACCCCAAAACCCCAAAACCCCAAAACCCCACTAGACTTATTAGATTCGAAATCTGGTTATTATTTAAAATTGGAATAATAACCCAACATTAATAAATGTCTAAGAAAACTTAATGAGAAAAGAGCATTCCTCAACTAATCTCCACTTAAATTCTCACAAATTATTAATACTTAAAATTAAAATATAAATTTACTAAATCATCAATCAATCACTTGCTAATTATCTTGATAAATAAAATACTTCATTGTTTAGATAGCTACATCTAGAACATTTGCCCAAAGACATCGTTTATCTTTTTGTTTTAGGTCTCTTTTAACTTCGTTTATTACTCTCGCTCTAAGTAATAGCTAGCTTATTTTCCTTCTATTTGGCCTACAATGTATTACATCGAATGCTAAATGTTTCCTTGATTAATTGGAAGAATTTAATTGAAATGCTCAGTCGATAGAGCCTTGGGAGAAGTCATATTAAGGGTTTAATTGTAATTAAAAAGGTTCATTCCTCTCATCATGCTGCTGTTTGGGCTCAAGATAGATTATTGTTACTCCCTGAATTAGCTATTACAGAAGTTATTATTACTCTAGTTAAATTAGTCATTGATTGGTGATTGATCTTCAGTAGAGTTTCCCGAGGATTATCGTTAAAACGGATTATCATTGTAGTTCACTGGCTCGAGTTATAGAAGATCGCCAATCTGTGAAAGTCTTAATGCTCTTTTCACTGGAGGCTATCTATTTTAATTTGCTTATAATTGCTACTTTTGCTCAACTTGATTTTATGGTGGGAAAGCAAAGAATTAATCAAAGCTTGAGAATGTTGGAGGCTTACTCTCTGTTGGATCTATGTCTGATGAATTTGAAGAACCGAATTCCTCTTTGTCATCAAGCTAATAATCTCTCTCAATAACGCAATTACTCTCAAAATCAAAGACATACTTATTTGAGTCATTATTATTGTTTTTACTATTATTGTTCTAAACAAAATAAGAATATATCTTATCATCTTGAAGAATACTTGTTCTCACCCCATTCTTACAAAAGTTATTCTATTCTATTGAATTGAGATTACTATAGCCATTATCCTACTGCTAATTTTCGAGTTCATTTAATGAATCTTTCTTGCTATCGAAGATTGTATATCTATCAAAACCACCATCATTAAGCTTCTAATAATCTATTTTGACTCAATTAGTATATACAATTTTACCGAAAGCCAATTGTTGATATTGCTCAAAGTACTCATCATCTAGTAGCAAATCTATTCTCTCATTCTTTAATGCTAATGCAATCTTAACAGGGGTTTTCAGTAATATAAATCCTTCTTTCATTAATTGGGATCTAGAATGATTAATATATTTTCAAGTACATTTGATTTTTATTGAGTTCAACTATCTTGTTGTTGTTAAGCTTGACTCTGTATTTCCCAGACTTTTTACTGTACCAGTAGCAAACCTTGTAAACTAATTTTTTCCCGTCATTATTTATTATTGTGAATCTCCAATCATACAGAATCTTAGACCTATTTCGATTGTTGAAGTTGTAAAGATTACATATTCCCAGATTTTGAGACATCTTTGAAGAAGTGCATGCAATCCTAAATCAAGTTAAAGTTGCTCATTCTAGTCTGTGATTTTGCGTAAAATATCAATAAATAAAATTTAATTATATTTCTTATCTTATCTCCTTATATTCATACTGGGGTTTTGGGGTTTTGGGGTTTTGGGG